CTGCATTCACCATTTCTAAATAAGCACTTCCATTTCCAAAAATTTATTATTAAAATAAATGTACATAAAAGCCTAGACCACAAGTTAATCGAATATGTAACATAGTCTCTTATAAAGTTTGTCAAAAGTAAAAGAAGAGGAAAAAAGTAGTAGTAGTTCATCACCAAGTCGAGGCAACAATAAGACTTCTAGATGATAAAGTTATATAACAGCGATTACCTTCTCATGGATATAGGTTAGAATGAAATCTATGTTCGAAAGTAAGTCCAAACAACTATCTCGACATTGATGTCACAGTCATACAACCTTTCACACTTGAAATGCAAAATCATTTTCCGACCATAGCTTTTTCCAACCATAACTCCAAAGTGTAATTAATTGGGATGACAAAAAGAATTTGTTTTACTTGATACTTGCGGTCCCACCCTGGCTCAGCTCCACCTTTATCGAGTATGCAGCAGGACAATGAGACAACAATTCCGATGGAACAGGGGACGTATTAAGATTTGGGGTCCATTTTAATAAGGTCAACATTATTAAGAAGAGTGGTCCAAGATTTATTTACGTTGGTTAATATTTTCGGTATTTAACCGATGTGAGATTTATTCCTTTAACATGCCCCCGCAAGATGGTGACTCTTTTTGAGCAGACCAATTTTGAAATTCGTATGCTCATTTTTTTAGACTTAATCGAATCGAATAACTCGTTGGAGTTTACTGGGCTCTGATACTATGTTAAGATTTGAGGTCCATCTTAATAAGGTCAACCTTATTAAGAGGAATGACCCAAGATCTATTTAAATTGGTCAATATTTCGATATTTAACCGATGTGAGATTTATTCCTTTAACAGGACGAACATGGCTATCCCGACCTCGACTTGTCCCGTTGTCATCACTAATAATTAATTGCATGAATGATAGTATTCAAAATCAACCACGAAAGCACAACACACGTCAAAACTCAAAAACGGATATACGATTTTTCTTAGTAATAGTGTGTAGAAATTATTATATGTTTGTGAAATTTAAGTAACCAATATCAAGTAATTAATTAGCTTTTTATGATTATATTGTTAATAATTTGGATATAGAACTTTTTAAAGAACCAAAAACCATTATAGAAAATGAACCCCAAAAAAAAGCTCATTGTTCTCTAAATTTGTAATGTAGTTTGATACTAGTTATTGGATAAAATATAAGAAATTTGGAAATAATTTAAATGCAAACAAAATTTAATAAGTAAATAGCGCCCTATTTGATTCAGAGAAAAATCAAATTTTTAGTAAATCCTAATAGAAGGAAAATGATTGTATGCAAAAAAAAAAAAAAATTTGATAGAAATTGTGGATAAGATAAAATGTGAGATTGAAAATAATTTTAAAGGAAAATAAATTTTAAAAAATGAAGACCAAACAGGAATGACATATGTTTCTTACTTTTTCTCGACTTCTCAAGTTTACTTTGTTCCATCTGATTATCAAAACGTGCATTTAAATTAAGTTTGATTGTAAAGGAAGCATTTATTGGGAAAAATGAGGCAGGGGAACTTCGATTGTGGAGGCATCTACGTAACTATAATAAATGCTTAGCTAATCTTAATTAAAATGCTTGAATTTCTAGTTATTGGTACACCTTCTACTATCATGGCATGCAATTTCGATGCACATTTTCATAATAATTATTAGGTTAATATCATGAAAATTCACACCTACTTACAACTACTAGAAGAAAACGATTGCCCAATTAACAGAAAATTGAAAACTTACGATAGAAATATTGATTTGAAATCTTTGTTTCTTCTGTCAATTAATTTTCCTTATCTAACATATTTAACTAGTCAACGATTATATCTTTTTTGGCCTTTTTCGAGTTTCATGAAAAGTTGTTAACAAACTTACCAACTTAAAAGGCATTCAATTCTTTAGTCTTTGCTATATCCTCTCATTATTCAATTCAGAGAGACTAAAAATATTTGATTTATTAATATAAATGAATACGTAAATGTTTTTATACCTATGAAATTTTCAATACCTTTAGCCGTTTAACCATTTAAATTCAATGATTCAAAAGTAATCTCTCGTATTAACAATATTCTTTTATCTCATTTTTGTATGTGGGATATTCGCTCGCATCATGAAAAGTATTTTGAAAAATTATTATAATTCGCACATTTTTAGTGATTTAAAGGTCATGAAGAAATGGCACCATTGTCAAAGTGGCGATTTATCCCCAAACAATATTTTGTCAACAACCTTTAATATTATGTAACATCAAATTCAAAATGAACAAACAAGAGATGTAAAATGGTACTTGACGAAGCCTAAATCTTTTAAATGCTTATAAGTTGTGATTCTTACATAATTTATAAGTAATAAGTGACTTGTAGATTTTCATCCTTAATGCAATTTATCTAGACTCATAATCCTTATGAGTTAGTTTTTATTCTTACGTTCAAAATGACATAGCAATCAAATATTACTTAGCTTTTATCTAGACTTGGAGAAAAAAAGAGAGGGAGAGATTGAAGTTTTCAGAAAAGTTTTGTGCATATTGGTGGGAAATATGAATATGATGACAAAGGAAGTAATATGGATGCTGAAATTCTTTGTAAGATGTCGGCTAGAGACGTGAAATAATCCAACCTTGGAAGGAAGACTTGTATATGAAGCAGAAATGAAAATTTTTCAGTTTGATATGGCAGCGGGTGCAACAACCTCTAAGTTTTCCCCTGCAATCTTGACCATTAAAACCTAAAACTACCAACCTCAGAAGTCAGAACCACCCTCTCTATCTCTACTATTGTGTATAAAAGGAATTCAGTTCTCTCATTAAACTTCGCAAACT